GTGGAGCGGGGATGGGTAGTGGTGAGAGGGAACACAAACTCGGGGAAAAGCAGTCCACAAGGGGCAGAATGAATGACCTGCAATGGGAGGCAAAGGGCGAGAGTAAAGGAAGTTTAAGGAAAGAGAGACGGGATGTGAAGACGAGCTGAAGGAGAGGGTGCAGGCAAAGGATTGGAGAGGCTGTAGGGCACAGAGTCTGCTTGAGATACAGAGTGGAGTGGGCGGGAAGAGCGAGGTGGTGAACAACTGAGGCGGGAACGAGAGGGAGGGATGGACACAGGATGATGCCGGGGTGGGGGAGGGGGTGGAGGACTTTTATAACTGGTGAAATCCATGTTTAGGCCACCAGGCTGTCGGGTCCCGAGGCGGAATATGAGGTGCTGCTCCTCCAGTTTGTGGGTGGCTTCATTGACACTGGAGAAGGCCCAGAGTAGACATGTGACCCAGGCAGTGGGAGGGGGAGTTAAAATGGTTCGCTACCAGAAGGTGTTTTTTGTCGTGTACAGAGCGCAGGTGCTCTACAAAACAGTCTCTGAGTCTCCGCTTGGTCTCACCGATGTAAAGGAGGCCACATCAGGAAGAACGGATGGAATAGACCACGTTGACTGATGTGTATGTGAACCTCTGCTTGATGTGGAAGGTTTGTTTTGTGTCTTGAATGTATGTGAGGGGGGAGGTGTAGGGGCAGGTGTAGCATTTCCTGCGGTTGCAGGGAAAGGTGTTGGTGGTGGTGGGGTTAGTGGGGAGTGTGGAGAAGACGTGGAGTCGCAGAGAGTGCGGTCCCTGCAAAAGACAGTCAGGGTCGGGAGGGAAATATCTCTTTGGTTGTGGGGTTGGATTGTAGGTGGTGGAAGTGGCGGAGAATGATGCTTTGGATGTGGAAGTTGGTGGGGTGATATGTGAGGACAAGGGGGATTCTATCTTTATTTTTGTTGACGGGAGGGGATGTGAGAGCAGAAAAGCGGGAAACACAAGAGATGCATTTGAGAGCATTTTCGATCACCGGAGGGGGGATGTTACGGTCCTTGAAATAGGAGGACTTCTGGGATGTGCGGGAGTGGAACACCCCATCTTGGAAGCAGACGCAGCGGAGGCGGAAGAATTGGCTGTATGAGATCGCATTCTTTCAGGAAGGTGGGTGAGAGGAGGTGTAGTACAGATAGCTGTGGGAGTTGGTGGGCTTGAAATAGATGTCAGTTTTGAGGCCGTCACCAGAGATCAGACAGAGAGGTTCAGGAAGGAGACGGAGGTATTGGAGATGGTCCGGGTGAATTTGAGGCTGGGGTGAAAGGTGCTAGTAAAGTTGATGAACTGTTCAAGCTCCTCGTGGGAGCATGAGGCAGTGCCGATACAGTCATCAATGTAATGGAGGAAGAAGTGGGGGATAGTGCTAATATAGCAGCAGAAGAGGACTGTTTCACGTGTCCAACGAAGAGGCAGGCATAGCTTGGGCCTATGCCTCTGATGCTGCCTGGCCTGCTGTGTTCTTCCAGCTCCACAGTGTGTTTTCTCTGATTCCAGCATCTGCAGTTCTTGCTATCTCTTAGCATAGATTTAATGTATTTTTGGCAGAAATGACTCGACAAATCAAAAAAAACCTATTATGTACTGCATTATTCAATGATTCTGTGCAATATAATGTGGGCAAATGCAAAGTTAAGCGCTTTGACAGGCGGCATAGAGGAGCTGAATATTACTTAAATGGGGAAAGACTGCAGAGTACTGCAGGACAAACGGATTTGGGTGTTCCCATCCATAAGTCATGAACATTATAATCCATGTTCAGTGGGTAATAGGTAAGTCAAAAATAAAATGTAGGCCTTTTTTTTACAGGAAGCAAAATATTAAAGTAGGGAGGATTTGCTAAAACTCTGCAAGGCACTAGTCAGATCTTAAGTGGAAAATTGCGAACAGTTTTCGGAAAATATATATCGATATTAGCAGTAGTCCAGTGAATATTTACTTGCTGATACCTTACTGGGATGGATAGATTGTATTATGAGAAGCAGGTGAGTAGGTTGAGGCTTTGCTGATTGGAATGCAAATGAATGACAGACGACCTTATTGATACATATTAGATTCTTGGTGGACTTGACAGGGTCGATGTGGAAAGTTTCAGTCCCAATGTGAGAGAGTTGAGCATAAGAGAGTTACTCTGAAAATGAGTCAGGCATTTAAACAGAGATTAGGAGAAATTTCTTCTCCTAGAAGGCATTGAATCTATCGAACTCTTTGCTGATGAGTACTGTTGAAGCTGGTTCCTTTAGATTATTCGACGCTGAAATGGGTAGATTTTAATCAGCAATGGAATCAGTAGTTAGGGGGAAAGGCAGGAAAGTAGATTTGAATGCTATCAGATCATCCATAATCAAATTCAATTGGGAAGCAGACTCAGTTGGTTGAATGGTCTATTTCTGCATCTACGTCTTTTGGTGCGTTGAGACTGTCGATGATATGGAAATCATTTTGGTGAGATTCAAACATGAGTTCTGGAAAATATAGGTGGAAACTTTTGCTGTAGTTTTACTTTTAAAAGTACTTTTAAAGCCAAAATTTTAAGGAGTTTTGGAGAAAAATGATATTTGGATATAAGATTGTCATTTGCCATGAGTATGGATAAAGGGAACTGATTGGTGGTTACAATGAATAAAGACTGAAGCACAGAACCAGAAGGGAAGGAACTATTAATAGGATTAGATAACATAAAGAAGTTGGGCCGTCAGAAGTTAGTCAGAATATGGTTGATGAAGAGAACATCATGCAGGATGAGACAAGACCTGAGCAAAAATGAGAAATGACAAGAAAGATGCAAATTTAAGGCATGACAAGTTGGAATTGTAGAGGCGATGCAGCCAAGAGAACTCGAGGAAAGGACAGAAAGTGCAGATGTGGCTGATTGGACAGCTTCACTTTTATTGACAGAAGGTCAATAACCTCCAAACACTTGTTGATGCTGAGGATGGAGGATCGATGGAGAGTACTCAACAAGATTTAAATTAAAGTCTGAAGTGGCAGAAAAAGTGCTTAGCAGCTTACACAGGTTCTGTGTAGAAAACAAAACAGATTTAATGTATTAGATGTGTGACTTTTCATCAGAAAAGGCAAATGTTACAAGAACCAACGGTCTTGAGTTAACACCGGAGTCGATGAGGACAAATGCAATGTCTGTGACAGGGTGAAAGACAGGAGAGATAAAATTGCAGAACAGTTAGTTCTTCAACTTCAAAGAGAATGGAGATGATGCAAAAAGAAAGAGAGAGAGAAAAAAACGATATGCCTGGAGCTCGTGTGATTCTGGCTGAAAGAACAAAAAATCTGAAACGTGCAAACAAATTGACTCATAATTAGATCAAGAGTTCACAGTCTGAAATTGCTGAACCCAACACTGAGTCAAGAAAGCTGAGAGAATACCTTGCTGAAACGTCAAATTAAAGGGAGATTAGGAGGATAATCAGTATTTGTAAAAGAGAAAGGTTTGGAGAAATTAATAGAGTTAAAGTCTGACAAGTCACATGCCCTGAAAATCTGCATCACAGATTGTTAAAGGAAGTGGCCCTGGAAATGTTGAATGCATCTTCCAAAAATCTGTAGACTTTGGAGCATTTCCCACAGAATAGAGCATGGCAAATGTAACACCAGTGCTTGAAGAAACAGGGAGAGAGAGAAAAAGAAAACATAAATACACACTAGAGATAACAAGGTGTAGAGCTGGATGGACACAGCAAGCCAAGCAGCATCAGAGGAGCAGGAAGGCTCACGTTTCGGGCCTAGGCCCTTCTTCAGAAATGGTAGGCATCCTTAGAAGAGGCTTTGCAGTGGGGGTAAAATTGTTCCAGAGACAGTAGGAACTGCAGATGCTGGAGAATCTGAGATAACAAGGTGTAGAGACAACAAGGTGCAGGGCTGGATGAACACAGCAGGCCAAGCAGCATCATAGGCGCAGAAAGGCTGATGTTTCAGAAATAGGCCCGAAACGCCAGCCTTCCTGCTCCTCTGATGCTGCAGGCCAGGCCCGAAACATCAGCCTTCCTGCTCCTCTGATGCTGCTTGGCCTG